GCTCTTGGAGCCCGTCCGGCAGGCGGCCTGTGTAAGCCCCGCAGCCCCGCGCCCTGCCCCGGCCGTGGGGTTTGCCACGACACCCACACAGCCGTGCCCTGCCCCAGCCTCCCTCTCTGCACGTCCCCCTCCCTGTCCCCATCCCCTCCCTGCAGAGAGGACCGTGGTGTGCCCAGCTCCCTGGGATGGTGCCAGCACAGAGCCTGACGCTGTCCCCACAATAAGGGTGGGGAGTCTCCTGGCTCACCTCATCTTGCCCCTGAAGAGGCTCCAGTGGGGGTTTCCCCTCTGTTAGCATGTGAGGAGCACTCAGCACCTGGGAACAGCTGCGGGCTTGGGGTGGGCTTGCAGGTCCCAGCTCTGACTCACTTCAGGGACATCCCACCGGGTCACCAGACTCTTCAGTTCCTGGGAAGTGCAGAGCCAGGCAGTGGGAGTGAACAAGGCTGGGAGGGCACAGAGCTGGCACGGACTCTCATTCACACACTGTGTTCTTCCTCCCTCCCAGGCTCCCTACTTTAACTGCATCTTTCTCCACGAAGGCTGGCCCTTGTGTCTTCACGAGAAAGTGGTCGTCCACCTGGCACCACTCAACCCCCTCCTGCTGCGCCCCGGGGACTTCTACCTGCAAGCAGAGCCCTGCGAGGAGCACTCGGCGCGCATCACCCTCAAGCACCTCTCGGGAGACCTGCGCACGGTGGAGGAGACGCCGGTCCCTGAGGCCACCTACACGCTGCTCTTCACCAACGAGTGGCTGGAGGAGATCAACAGCGACCAGGCCAGGGCCCCCCTGCACACCTGCCTGGTGGCCACCGAGAGCGGCATCACCCCGCTGCCCTGGAGCAGGATCGCCACGCCGGAGTTCATCGACAAGCCCAAGGCTGGAGCTGATGGTGCTTCCACAGGGGCTCAGCACAGCCCTGCTCCTCAACCTGCAGCCGAGTCAGCAGCACCCACTGCACCCATGCCCTGCAGCACAGACACCCCAGCACCCTATGGCAACATTGCAGGCACTGTCCCGGGCTGCAAGGTCAGCTCTTGGAAGTCAAGCCAGGGAAAGTACCCGGGACTGATTAAGGTGGACCAGGCTGGGCGGCGGAAGAAGGCAGCCGCGCTGGCCATGCCCAGCCTCTGCGAGATCATCAGCCAGAACCTGGAGGGGGAGTACGTGGATCTGCTGGAGCTTTCTCAGGAGCAGCTGGACCTCCTGGCCAGGTCCCTGCAGCCCACCCGCCCACTGGGACACATGGGGGCCGGGGCAGAGGCAACGCTCCCCTGGGCAAACGGGGAGCAGGGAGCAGGCACCTGGCGCTGCAGGGGGATGCCAAGCTCAGAGGAGGGTCCCTGCACCCCCTGCCTGGGGACAAAGCTGAGCCAGGAGCTGGGGCCACACAGCCCACGGTGCCGCCACCGTGACTCCTACCTGGCTG